AACTAGACCCTCTCCTAAAAATAAAAAGGGCTGAGAATGTAGCTTAATGGCAGAGCACCCTTAGTTCCAATCCCCAGTACTAAAGGTGAAGAGCCATTTTAGGAATTATAATTTTATCAGACTTTAAGTAAGTTTAGTAGCAATTAAGAAAAATAAACAGTTAAACCAAAAAGAGATTACATTATATTTAAAGAAGTGTCCTCCAGTGGATATTGGAAGTTGGTTGTAAATATCAAACCTGCAGTGACTCAGGCACCTGAGCCCTCACAGCTTAACTCTACACCTTCCTTGGAGAACTGATGATCTAAGGAATTCTCTAATGCTTCATATGGAACAGCAGGAACCACTTCATGAAACCTGAATTTAAAGTTTGTTTTGGTCGATTTTCTCTTGTGATCATTTGCTTTTCTTATGATTTGTCTCAATCAGTTAAGCTGCCAACCAACCAACTTTCTTGAGTTTTTTTTCCTCATTGCAAGATGACATTTGTATACATTTATGAGGTACAATGTGATGTTGTGATTCATGAATATACTGAGTAGTGATCAACATATCATCACATTAAAGTTTTATTATTGCCTTATAATGAGTACATTCAAAAATTCTTCTATCTTGAGATAGATAGTACATTATTGTTAATTCACCTTACTGTGTGTGCTATAGAATACCAGAGTTTAATATCCATACTATATAAGGAATTGAATAACAAATAAGCCAGTTTTTAAAAATGGGTTAAAAATCTGAATAGACATTTCAAAAAAGGCAAAATACAAATGGCAAACAGATAAAATGAAAATTGCTCAATATCATTAGTCAATAGAGAAATGCAAATCAAAATCACAGTGAGGTAGTGCCTCATCCCAGTCAGAATGCCTATTCTAAGAAAGCTGGTAAGGCTGTGGAGAAAGGGGAACACTTATACACTGTTGAGGGGAATGTAAAATAGTAAGTACAGGCATTATGGAAAAATAGTATGATGTTTTCTAAAAAAAATTTAAAAAATAACTAAAAGTGGAACTACCATAATGATCCAACAATCCCACTCTAGGAATATGCTCAAAGGAAATGAAATCAACATGTTGAAAAGAACTACTACCCTCCCATGTTTCTTGCAGGACTATGCACAATATCCAGGCTCTGGAATCAACCTAAATATCCATCCGCAGCAGATTAGATCAAGAAAATGTCGTACAGCCAGACACAGCAGCTCAGGAGACTGAGGCAAGAGGATTGAAGTTCAAAGCCAGCCTCAACAACTTAGTGATTCTGGCTCCCCAAAAAAGATCTAGAGATGTGGCTTAGTGGTTAAGTGCCCCTGGGTCCAATCCTTGGTACCAAAAATAATAAAGAAAATATGGTACATATACACAAAGGAATACTATTCAGCCATTAAAAAACCATGAAATCCTGTCATTGCAACAAAATTGATGGAACTGGAAGATGTTAAAGGAAGGTATATGTTTAATATGTTTTTCTCCCCCCAAAATTGTGAGGAATTCTTTTACATTTTTGCAAATCTCTTTAATGTTTGGTTTAATAGAAAAGAGTTAGATTCCCATATTCTTCATTCAATCTGTTATATGTTGTTTTGATTGAAGTACCATCATTCCTTGCTATCAAATTCCATGGATGCTCAAATACCTTATATAAAATGGTATAGTGTTTGCAGATAAAATATATACATCTTACATATACTTTAATTCATCTCTAGGTTATTTATGATACTTCATACAATGTGAATAATTGTTATACTGTATTACATAGGGAATAAATTTTTTAAATTTTTATTCTCTTTAGATAGTACAATCTATTTTGATATATTTATACAAACATAAATATAGCTTATTCTCATTAGGATCCCAGTCTTGTGGATGTACATGATGTGGAGATTCACTGTGGTGTATTCATATATGTACATAGGAAAGTTGTGTCAGATTCATTCCATTGTTTTCCTATTCCTAACCCCACTCCCTTCTCTTCTTTTTCTTTTGTCTAATCCAGTGAACTTCTATTCTTCCCCTCCTGCTGCCCTTTGTTATGGATTAGCATTTCAGAGAGAACATTTGTCTTTGCTTTTTTGGATTTGGCTAATTTCACTTAGCATGATAGTCTGCAGACTCATCCATTTACAGGCAAATGTCATGAAGTCGTTATTCTTTATGGCTGAGTAATATTCCATTGTGTGTGTGTGTGTGTGTGTGTGTGTGTATCACATTTTCTTTGTCCATTCATCTGTTGAAGGCCACCTAGGTTGGCTCCATAGCTTAACTATTAATGAATTGAGCTTTTATAAACATTGATGTGGTTGTGTCCCTGTAGTATGCTGATTTTAAGTCCTTTGAGTATATACCAAGGAGTGGGTTAACTGGGTTCAAATGATGGTTCCATTCCTAGTTTTTGTTTGTTTTTTGAGGAATCTCCATATAGTTTTCCAGAGTGGTCGTACCAATTTGCAGTCCTACCAGCAATGTATGAGTGTACCCTTTTCCCACATTCTCACCAACATTTATTGTTACTTGTATTCTTGATAATTACCATTCTGACTGAAGTGAAGAGAAATTCCAGTGTAGTTTTAATTTGCATTCTCTAATTGCTAGAGATATTGAAAATTTTTTCCATATGTATTTTTTACCATATTTCTTCTTTTGAGAAGTGTCTATTTAGTTCCTTTGCCCATTGATTAATTGGGTTATTTGTAATTCTTGGTGTTAAGCTTTTTGAGTTTTTTGTATATCCTGGAAATTAATGCCCTCTCTGAGGTGCAGGTAGCAAAGATTTTCTCCCATTCTGTAGGCTCCTTCTTCATGCTCTTGATTGTTTCCTTTGCTCGAGGAAGATTTTTAGTTTGATACCATCCATTTATTGAATCTCACTTTCAACCAAACTCTTCCGAGAAGCTAGGCTAATCTGAGTAATTTAGTGAGACCCTGTCTCAAAAAATAAACAAGAACTAGGGATACAATTTGGTGGTAAAATGCCTTGTTCAATTCCCCTTTACCAAATTAAAAAAAAAAAAAGACAAACTCCACTTTGCAGTCTACGATGATACTTATTTAGTTTGGAGATCATTCCTTTGAACTGTGATTCATTTGATTTTCTTAACTTTTTAAATAGTCCTTATTTTTCTCCCTCAATCCTTTTCAAGGAAATGTTTAACAGCATCAATGTATTTCTTCAAATTGACCTTTGTTTGGCAATCTAGAGGCTCTCAAATTTCTGGTTTTCTCTTGGTCTAATTGCAAGTTGCCACCAGCAGTGTAATCTTTTCTAGCGAGGGCAGGCAGGGATCATCTTTGGTATTTTTTCCCCAGTGGCTGTAAAGGGCACTATCATTTATAACCTCTTTAATTCATATTTTCAAGTTGTTGGACTTTTAAAAAAAATGTTCCCCAATTTTCCACATTCTTTCTTTATTCTCACAGCTTCTTGGGAGAGCAGTTTTAGATTTTTTAAAAAAAAAAAAATGAGTATTTTCATTTAAACCATCAATGGGGGAAATCCCTCTGAAGTTCTAAATTTTAAAATGCTTTTGTCATCACTTGAGATTGAGGAATTTTTGATGCCTCTTTGAGTGGCTGGGCCCTTGAAGTGAAGCCATGAAATGAAAGGGGACTATTTTCTGTTCTTTTTAGACAAAGTCTACAGTACTCTAAAGTGTCAAGTGGACCTGTCCAGATATTTACTAAATGCTGCCAAACTCAATGTTTGTAACTTCAGAAGAGGTAACTAATTAACTAGTCTAATCTCACTAACTTAATTTGGGCAGAAAGTCTTTTGGCTAGTTTTTCCCCTCCTTAAATTATGCCTGCTGTTTTCTATAATAACTACATCAGTATCTCCAAAAAAAAAAAAATCCAGAAAAGTTTGAACCTTGATTCTAGCATCAGACAACACCATTGAGGATGGTGGAGGAGGAGGCAGATGAGGTTCTATAAAACAATGCTAACTCTGTTCCACTCACTTCACAAATAGAAAGTGGGATTTATACAATGCATTTGGGTAAGTGGAAAACACCAATCATAGGTAGAGAAAGACCAGTCATGAGTTCTGACCAGGCTGGTCCCCACCTGGCCCTGCAGGAGGCCTTGAGTATTAAAGTATTGCCATGTTGTCCCTCATTCTCCGCCCCAAAGCATGTCAGGGCAGAAAGGTGGGGCATGCTGCAGTTGAGGATTCCTGTACCCATGTGCATAGGGAGGCTCATTCTGAGTTCAAGTTTCCTTCAACAGCAGGGAAACTTGATCCTAACCTACACAAAGGTCACAAGGATCCCCCTTCCATAGGACTCCCCTCCTTGTTTCTCTTTTCTGAGTTCAGTAGCAGGTGTAGGACACTGAAAGGCCTCAACAGATGTAGGAATAGCCATGGTTTTCCTTATTAGAATGTCAGTGGACATTTCATGAATTTTCTATGAGGCCAGTTAGTTTCTCCCTTCAATCTAAGCATTCCCAGTTTAGGAAGACTCTCCTTCAGTGGTCACTACCCAGGCTCCTTGCGTCATTTGACCTTTCCATCTTTAGCATGTGCCTCCCAGGATTGCCCTGAACCTGGTTCCCAGTCCAGGAAGTTATCTGCAGACGTGAGGCTGCCCCTGTGAGGAGAGCTGGTCTTTCTGAATCTTGCACTTCTTTTTCCTTCCAATAAAATCTCACTCTCACAGTTTTTCTCTGGCGGACTCAGCCCAGTCCCCCATGTCCATCACCTGGAACACTGTTTGAGGGACTCTGTGAGAACAGACCTTCAGCGTGCAAAGGAGTGGACCATCAGTGGGTGTCAGTCTGGGAGTCCTGGAGAGGTCTAGGACTCAAGCCACAGGTCCCTCTGTAGATGTGGAGGATTGAAGCTCAGGTGAGACCTTCCAATGAGGGAAGGAGATGGCCAGATGCCTAATGAAGTTTTCTCTATTTGGATTTTTTTTTTTTAAAGAGGGCAGGGAAGGGGAGTATTATCAAGTGGTAAGTCCTGAAAGAATCAGGAAAAGGCAGAAAAACATTTTCATATTTTGTTGAATGTCATTTTTTTATTATTTTCCTTCAGCCTAATTTCTTTGGTTAATGTTATGCTTATGTTTCCAGTGACACAAAATGATTTTAGGTGGTTTAGCAACTCAGCATTAAATAACAGTAGATCACACAGTGATAAAGCCATTGTTTTAAAACTTGCAAACCTTCTGATTATGTCAACAGCAGCCTGTAAGTTTTCTCTGACTCTTGGTAATCTCCCTCTTTAGCCAAGAAAGCAGGTCTCAGGTTCACAGCTTTCTACAACCATCAATGTCTTCCTAGGTTTTAATAAAAATAATCTGCTTTTATTATCTTCATTTTTATAGTTATCCTCTGTTTATGGAAAATGATGCTAGTTTTCCATTTAAGGTAGTGGGTATAAATTTTGACCAAATGTTTTATTTATTTTTTATTTTATTTTGGCCAAATGTTTTATTTAATGTGCTAACTAAAAAAACTAGATAATAAATAGTGTGATATGTGAACATGCAGAAAAGCAAATTGCACTGTTGCTATACAAATAATGATACAGCTCAATAATCTCTTATTCTTTATGGTTTCTTTTGTATGTTCTTGTTTGAGAGATTCTGGAACCTGAAAATAGCTAAACTGCCATGGGGACACTTAAGACTGTACACAGACAGAGTCAAACTTTAGTGACTTTTGCTTATTTAAATCCTTAAACCACTTTTTGGTTTAAGAGAAGATTCTTATCCTTAATTATGATAACATTGACCCTTAAAGTAAAATGTAATTATAACTTCATTATATATATTACTGAAGGTGGGGATCTTTTATTATATATGAAGCGGTGTGGCTGACATGGTCCAGATCAGATAAGTAGGTCCTTCAGTTCTTAGTTTTAAGCTTGTAAATGTCCTTTGTGAGCAGGCTATAACACCTGCCACAATTCTCTGTACATTTCATGTTGGTCAAGAGGTTGCTACTTTAAAAATCTGAATAAAAGTTTATAAGTTAGCCGAATTTCAATTTAAAAAAAATTTAGATAGTCCCAGAACATCCACTTGAGTTCTATTATTCATAAAATAATGGATTTAATAGCATTACTACTAGTACAGACAGTAGATATTGATGAAGCCTTTCCATTTTAATATTTTTCATCATTTCCTCACTTGATTAGTACTGCTAGTTGTCCTGTTAAGAATTTAACACTGGCCTATTAGATATGTACATTGTTGTTCATTTTAAAGTAGAACATTAGATGTCAAAAGTAAGTTAAAGCAAAAGTGTGAGGGAAAGCATTTCAGCACTTCTCAGATGGCTTTGCTGGCTCTCAGGGTGAGTAAGGTGGAGGTGACGGTCCTGTAGAAAGTTTCTCATAAGCAGGAGGAGCCTCAGAGACCTGTGAGAATGAGAAAGGGAGAACGTGGGCTTTGGCAACCATGTCTATTTCTGGGGAGGCATTAAGTCAAAAGAGCATCATGTTTATATTTCTGCTGCAGACTGAAACTTCTGAGTGTTCACATCTAATTTCCACCCAGTTACGTAAATATATACATTGAAACATTGTCAGAGAGAAGGATAAAAAAAAATAGGACTAAGGGGTTTCTCAAAACCTGAAAGTATACTTATACCTGGATAATTAATGTCAATAGAAGTCCCAAGTCCTAACTAATGAATACTTGAACTCTGTTTACAGATAATATACACTGAATCTTTACCACATAGATCTTTGTAGTTGTGTCCAAAGGTACATTTATACTACCAACTGAGCAAAAATGTGTCAGTCCTTCATTTCATGCTCAACATTCTAGGAAATGTTGCAGAGTGGAAAATTGAGGCACAGAGAAGTTACTCACCCAAGATCATACAACCAGTAAGACATGAAGCTAATTCTCAAATACAGTCATTTGGCTCCAGAGTCAGTGCTTTCAAGCATTATGTTCCATTGCTTCTCTACCAGTACCATCTAATAGAAATATAGTACCAGCCACATATGCCATTTAAAGATTTCTAGTAACTACATTTTTAAAGGCAGATAAAAATTAATCTTGATAAAATAGTTTATTTAACCTGCCATATTAAAACATAGTCATCTCAACATGTAATCAATAGTAAAATCATTAATGATTTTCATATACTCTGTCTTTGAAATAGGATGTGTATTATAGTATGTCTTAATTCAAATTACTTTTCCAAGTATCCATAAAAATGCATGACTAGTGGCTACTGCATCATTAAAGCACAGCTCTATGCAATTAATATTAGATACTTTTTTCCTCCTCTCTGTGTATCTACATTGATGAAAAGGGCAAATGTAACTAAAAACACAACCTACAACATAAGGATATTTTATCTAAAACCAATTTCTTCTTTGGGTCTTATGTGTAGGGCTCTCATTATTGACCCTGGAAAATCTGAGTATGAAAAAATACAATTTAGCTGGGCATGATGGAGCATGCCTGTAATCACAGTGGCTCAGGAGGCTGAGACAGAAGGATCGTGAGTTCAAATCCAGCCTCAGCAACCAAGTGAGACCCTAAACAACTTAGTGAGACTCTGTCTCTGGGAATGTGGCTCAGTGGTTAAGCACACCTGGGTTTAATCCCCAGTATCAAAATAAAACTTAAAAGATATAATTTGGTTTTTGATTTATGATAACTCATTTTTATTGTACTAAAATATGCATAACAAAATTTACCATTTTGATCATTTTTAGATCTACATTTTAATACCACTAAATATGTTCACTCTGTCCTTGCTTTTTCAATAGAAATAATTTTGTTCAATAGAGCTAAAAGCAATCATATGGAAAAATATCCAGATGCATGATCTCAGCCTACCTGAAGATCACAGTTTTGGTTTTGAAAAGACAGTTTGCTGTCCTGATGACCAAGCCCTTCATATGGGCATCTTTCTCTCAAGTTAGTTTGAATTCCAGCATGAAGACTTTTGTCCTGCAATAGAAATTCATAAAAGTGAATGCGCAAGAAATAACTGAGTCTGTTAAATAAAAGATGAGGCTAAGTCTTAAGAATAGGTTTTAATCGAGGTTCTGCAATTTATTTGCTCTGTATCCTCAAGCTAGTCACTTTACTTCTCTGAATTACAGTTTTTGCATCAGAAATAGGAAGATAATACCACCTATCTCTCAGAGTTGTGGGAATTAACTAAAGGAAAAGCATTGGTGAAATGCTTCACACCAGGTTGGTAACCTAAATATTTCTGAAGGGAAGGAGAAGATTGAATCTATAAAATGAACCTCTTATGAAATTGTCTTTAAAATGAAGGTAAAATAAAGACTCTCTCAGGCAAATAAAAGGTGAGGGAATGCATTGCCAGTATACCTGCCTTGCAAGAAATGTTGAGTTCTTTAGAAAGAAGGAAAATACAGACCAGAAACTCACATCTACATATAGAAAGGAAGAATATTGAAGAATAAATGAAGGTAAAGTGAAAACTTATTTTTTTATTCTTAATTGATCAAACATAGCAACTAGTTAGAATAATAACAATGTATTTAATTATGTATTCTTATATAAGTGAAATGATGCAACAAATGAGAAGGAAATACTAGATGATTTTGTTAGGATGAGGTATTCACATTACCTGTAAAGGGGACATGAATTAAAAATGTATATTTCAAACTATAGGGCGACCACTTAAAAATTTAATTTTAAAAGGTATATACTTAGAAAAAAAAGAATCATATATGAAATTCCATATATGCTATCATATAAAATGTTCATTTAAAACCACATAAGGCAGAAAAAGAATGGAAGACAAAAATAGGAACAAAGAACAAGGACAAAAAATATACAAAACAATAACATATATAGTAGATACTGATCCCAACTATTACCAATAATCACTTTGAATGTCAATGGTTTAAATGCATTAGTTAACAGATTAGATTGTCAATGTGAGTCAAAAACAAGATCCACTGTAAAAGTCACATGTATGTGGAAAGTAAATGGATGAAGAGAGATGATATATCATGCTAACACTAATCAAAAGGAAACAGGAAACTGAGAATAATGACAAATGCCTATAAGTCCAGCAAATTAGTAGGCCAAGGCAGGAAGATCAACAAGTTCAAGGCCAGCCTTAGCAACTAAGTGAGGCCCTAAGCAATTTAGTGAGACCCTGTCTCAAAAAATAAAAAAGGCTGGGGATGGGGCTCAGTGTTAAAGTGCCCCTGGGTTAAATCCCTAATATTGGAGTAGGGGGAATAATGGGCACACATATAATCCCAGCAACTCCGAAAGCTAAGGCAGGAAGATAGCAAGTTTGAAGCCAGCCTCAGCAACTTAACAAGACCCTGTTCAAAATTAAAAGTTCTGTGGATATAGTTCAGTGATAGAGCACTCTCACCTACATGCACGAGGTCCCGAGTTCAATCCCCAGTACCACAAAACAAGAAAAGAAAGTGGAAATTCCTATGTTAATTTCATAAAGAGCAGACTACACATAAAGTCATGGATAAAAAAGGCATTTCACAATGATAAATGGATTCATTCTCCAAGAAGACCTAAAACTTAACATGCAGACTTAATGACAGAGCAGCAAATATACAGACAAAAACTGATAGAACTTCAAGGAGATACCACTGAATCCACTATGTTTGTGGAGTTATATTTGGAGACTTTAACATCCCTCTTTCAGAAGTGAACAGGTCCAACAGGCAAAAAGTCACTAAGGACACAGTTAAACCCGTTAAAACTGTCAATCCACGTAGATATGATAGACCTAGAGTCTAGATGCTACTGGATGCTCTTGTCATCCAACACAGCAGAATATACATAGTCTCAAGGTCACATAGAATTCACCAACATCAACTACATTCTGGACCATAAAACATATCTTAACATATTTAAAATAATACAAATGAGGAACCATGCATAGCGGTACACACCTGCAATCCCAGTGATTCAGAATGCTGAAGTGTAGGATCTCAAATTCAAGGCTAGCCTGGGAAAGATTCTGTTAAAAGAGATGCTGTCTCAAAAAAAAAAAAAAAAAAAAAAACTAAAAGGGGCTTAGGATGCAGCTCAGTGGTAGAGCATCTCTAGGCTCAAACCTTAGTACCACACACAAAAAAAGATAGAAATCATGCAGTTCTCTGTTACATTTCAACAGGATTTATCTAGAAATCAGCAAGATAGATAATCTAGAAAAACAGAAAGATAACCAATATGATTCTGCAACCTGTACACTCAGAAAAATGAGAAATTATATCCCATCTGATTCAAATGTATGATATGTCAAGGTCATTGTACTGTCATGTGTAACTAATTAAAACAAAAAACTAATACAAAAAAAAAAAAAACATAAAGAGAGCTGAAAAATCCCCCACCCCTGCAAATACTTGAAGAATAACAACACACTTCTACAAGAGAAATTTTTAAGTACTTTGAACTAAATGAAATTGAAAACACAATTTATCAGTTTGTGGGATGCAGTGAAAGTACTTACCTGAAAATTTATAATATTAAATGCATACATTAGAAAAGAAAAAAAAGATCTAAAATCAATTGCCTAAATTTCTACCTTAGGAAACTAGAAGGAAACCAAATTAAATCCAAAACAAGCAGAAGAAAAAAAAAAGAAAAAGACCAGAAATCTATGAAATTGAAAACATGAAAAATATAGAAAAATTTTCTCCACCAAAAGCTGTTTCTTGGAAAAGGTCAATAAAGAAAGCCCTTGAGGCAGGGTAAGTAAGAGAGAAAAAGAAAACACAAAGAGGACATTACTAAATATCTCGTGGGCAGAAAAATGATAATCAAGAAATACTGTGAACGTCTTTATGCTCACAAATTTGAAAACCTAGACAAAATTCACTAATTCCTTGAAAGACACAATCTTTCAAAACTCACACAAGAAGAAATAAACCATGTTAGACCTATATTCATCATAAAAATTGAAAAAATAATTAGTAGCCTTCGATAACCGAAAGCACCTGGCCCAGGTGGGTTCACTGGTGAATTCTACCACACATTTAAGAAAGAAATTATTCCAATTCCCTATAATCTGTTTCATAAGAAAGAAGCAAAGGGGTACTTTCTAACTCATTCTCTGAGTGTGAGTCAAAAACAAGATCCACTGTATTAATATTATTGCCTTAATACCAAATAGTATTGCCTTAATACCAAAGCAGGACAAGAAAAGAAACTAGTTCTCATGAACATGGATTCAAAAGTCCTCAAGAAAATACTGGCAAATCACACTCAACAATGTGTTAAAAAAAAAAGTTAGACACCATAAACAAGTAGATTTACTCAGGTATACAAGCAACTTGGTTCATGTTAAATCAATTCATGTAATCCAGCACATTAAGAGGCTAAAGGAGAAAAATCACATGGTCATATCAATAGATGTTAGAAAGAGCATTTGACAAAATCCAATACCTATTCATGATTTAAATTCTAAGTAAACTAGGAACAGAGGGAAATTTTCTCAACTTTGCTAAGAACATGTACCAAAAAACATAGCTAACATTATACTTAATGATGAGAAACTTAAAATTTTCCCACTGATATCAGGAACAAAGTAAATATGTCCTTTCTCACCACTCCTTTTCCACATCGTACTGGAAGTTCTAGCTAATGCAACAAGAAAGGGAAATAAAAAGCATACCGAGAAGAAAAGAAGAAAACTGCCTTCATCAATTATTGATGTCTTTTCTTCTAAGTCTCTGAACTACCATAGAATAGGAGTGTGATTCACTTTCCCAGTTTACTACCCATTCTCTGCATTTCATTCAAACTCAATGTGCATGCTAAAATGCAGATTCTGGCTGTGGGCTGGCGGGCTAGTGGGATGGCAGATGAGGAAGAAGACCCGACCTTTGAGGAGGAAAATGAAGAAATTGGAGGAGGTGCAGAAGGTGGACAGGGTAAAAGAAAGAGACTTTTTTCTAAAGAATTACGATGTATGATGTATGGGTTTGGGGATGACCAGAATCCTTACACTGAGTCAGTGGATATTCTTGAAGATCTTGTCATAGAGTTCATCACTGAAATGACTCACAAGGCAATGTCAATTGGAAGACAAGGTCGAGTACAAGTTGAAGATATCGTCTTCTTGATTCGAAAGGACCCAAGGAAGTTTGCTAGGGTTAAAGACTTGCTTACCATGAATGAAGAATTGAAACGAGCTAGAAAAGCATTTGATGAAGCAAACTACGGATCTTGATAATTTTTGTACTTCATGAAATTTCATTATATTCTGTGGAAATCATATATAATAATTGTATACTTTGTTCAGTAATGTCCTAATATCTAGGCATGTAAATGAAAGATGGAGAAACAAAGTTTTCAGCTTTTATTTTCATGTCTTTGATTTTAGAGTGATCCTTGAGCCTTTAATTGCTTGCCTTTACATGACTATACTTGAATTACTTACTGAGTTTAATGACTACATGTAAGTTAAAGTACCTTACAAATTATGCAGTTCCTTCTGACTTTTGACTATCTAAAGGATGAAGTAGTATTTATGTGTTAGGTATATTTGTGCCATTATAAGCTATACTATAGCTGTTTAATATGTGAAATCTAAGTGTCATTTTGACTATGACAGCTGAGACATATGCCTTACATATTCTGAAGTTTTTAGACAACAGTAGTCTGAGATGTTATTAAAGAGTGAACTGGTTTTCTTTTAAGGAGATGATATTTGAAACTACAAGTTTTTGTAAGAATGTTTATGTGTCTTAAATGATAATTTGTTTTAATATTTTCTAAAGAGTGATTTTTTTATTTTTATTTTTTTAGAAACTTAAAAGTTTCATGTTGATGCTTCCATGTTGAAAGACTTTTTTGATTTAAAACCTTTTGGACTTAAGTTACTTTTTAAGTTTTAGAACTCATTTTCCCAATCATCTACTTTCAGGAGCAGGAATGGCGATGTTTAATGAGCTAATGGTAGGATAAGCATTTGGGGTAGTGTTTTTTTTAACATATTTGTAAGTACTTGTGGAAATGTGTAGTTGACTAAAACTGTATGTAGCTACAAAAACCACTTTTGTAGTTCACAGTATACAGGTTTTGTGTGAATTTAGCTTACTGCATTAAATTATTGCCCTTAGCTTAAAATAAGGATTAAAATTGCATTTAAAGAGATCACTGAATGTTACTGTTTGTAAAACTGAGCTTTTTGATTCTACTTATAAATAGTATCTATAAATCAGTACCTGGGAAAATTTTACTTTCTTAATCTATTGATACAAGGAATAAAGTATAAAAAATTAAACAGAAAAAAAAAATAAAATGCAGATTCCTGGATCCCACCACCACAGATGTTCCCCGATTTTGCATTTTAGTGAGAATTCCAGATGATTTCAGTGCAGGTGGCTCCTGACCATGCATTGAGAAACCTAATACCTTGAGACAGGAATGTAAATTGAGCTGTCAGCAAGGGCATTGAAATTCTAATCCACAATCCAAAAGTATTATGTACTAAATTTCCAAGTGAAGATGTAAAACAAGTATGTATAAAAACCAGGTCCAGGGGCTGGGGATGTGGCTCAAGTGGTAGCGCGCTTGCCTGGTGTGCGTGCGGCCCAGGTTAGATCCTCAGCACCACATACAAACAAAGATGTTGTGTCCGCCGATAACTAAAAAATAAATATAAAAAAAATAAAAATAAAAATAAAAAAAATAAAAACCAGGTCCAGTTCCTCAAAAATTATTTCCCACTCCCTGATGTGGAAACATGTTGCTGCCAGAAGCAGTCTTTCCTTTCGAAAGGTGATCTGCGGGGCTCAAGGGAATTGTTAACCAAAGGAGAAATTTTTGGTGATCTAAATTTTAACCAACCTTGCTACCATACTGTGGTCAATGGAAGTTGTAAATTACACATTTCAAAGCCAAGTAAAGATCACTGAAATCTCAGGTACCCAAAGCTTGTGTTTACTGTCATTTATGTTCTTCTGCTTTAAAATAGAAATAGAATCACTGAAGAGAAAAAGGGAGGTAATTATGTACTTAAATTGCAGTACTTACAGCACTATCTTTCATAATTTTGCCTAAATATCTTAGACTGCTGATTCCCAACCTCGCTCTCCTAGAGACATGAAAGTCTCAAAACAAGATTTTAATGTTAATTTTAAAAACAAGTATGACAGCAATTTTTTTAGGCACTGGAGAAATCATGGAATTCAAACACAACATTTTTTATCTCATGAAAATTCCAAGCCAGGCATGGTGGTGCCCACATGCAATCCCAGCTACTCAGGAAACTGAGGCAGGAAGTTGGCAAGTTTGAGGCCAGCCTAGGAAATGTAGCAAAACCTGTCTCAAAATAGATGTTTTTTAAAAAGGTCTGGAGCTCAGTGGTACAGCCCTTGCTAGCATGTGTGAGGCCCTGGATTCAATCCTTAGTACCACTCCCCCAACACCCCCCCACATACCAATTTTTTTTTTTTTCAGAAATTCTTTGAATCACTGATTTAATCCTAGAGGAATGGAAATTGGACTTGGACCTTACCAACCAAAAATGTTCACAGTGTCTGAGCACATGGCAATAAGATTCTCTGTTACTCTTCAAATTGAATGAATTTAAAATGAGTGTTGAAGCGGAAAGGAGAAAAATCATTCTTTGTGTTCAGTTACATCAAGCTAATAATTGCAGATGGTTAGGAAGTACGTACCAACATATTAAGTTTGTGTAGCTATACTCCTTGAAAGATTAAACCATTGTGGATTTTTAAATACAAATATATGATGAAGCAAAAACAGAAGAAATAAATATTAAATAAAAACTGATAAACTTTGTATTATATCACATATTTCTACCATGTCTAAGTGTAGAATAGAGCTAATGAAGCTTGGAGAAATTAAAATCTAAGGTTGCAAAGTAAGTCAAGGGTAGGCAATGAGACCAAATACTGATGCCACACAACTGTGTGACTGCTATGTGCCAAGCACTGGAGGTACAGTGTCCTGGTTCATAAATTGGGGGGAGAAGGTAGCTGTGAATGGGTGGAAGAGGCAAAAAGTAAATAACCAATTATAGGGTTATTGTCATTCACTCATGCTAGAGGTACAAATGAAGTTCTATGACAGAAAGCAAAGTCCCTCTATTAAACTGTAGTGCAGAGGCACTTGTCACACGAGCCCCAGTCCTGTCACTAACCTCCTGATCCAGTGTTGATTTGCAGTCCTCTTATTCAGACTCAGCACCTTCTCCTCTTTCCCACTGAATATGAACACAACTAGAGGGCTCTGCTTGTGATGTGTCAGACCCCAAATTTGCCCAGTTTTTCATGGTTTGTATTTGGAAAAACACTGGTAAGAAGGGCATTAGGGAAAAGAAGATACAAAACTGCCCAGTGGCTTGCCAAGGAAGGAAAGTGTTGGAAGGTGCATCTCTTGCTTTCTCCTCCTTTTCTTCATACTGCCAAGCTGTAGACCCACACGCACCAATCCTGCACTCGTTCACACAACCTTTGCTGAATAAAGAATGGGACTTTTCATCATCTTCTGTAAAGACAATACTTTCCCAAAGTTTCCAGGTGTATTAATAAGAGAGGCAGAATTACAATTATAGACTCAGTTGATGTTTCCCACTTGTGGGGAAGAAGCACCCAGTGCCAGAAGAGCAGATAGGGTTGTTGTATTAGCATCCTGTTTGTTGGGGTAACGAAGAAAAGGATAACTATTAAACCAAATTGATCACCTAAAAATGGAGCTTATTAAAAATAAATAAAAATAGGGATGCTTTGAACTGCTGAGAGGAGGATGGTCTTCTCATTGCACTGATGCCCAGAGGGGTTTTGGATACCCAGGCTATGTAGTAAGAAAGTTAAGAGAACCTGGAATTTCCTACGTTACCCAGGATGAAAGATGTAAAAGAGACAAGATAGGAGAAGCAGTCCACTACAGGGAGTAACAACCAGGGAGAATATCCCAAAGCACTGGTAAATCTGAGGAGTCTAATGTCCTGCTGTTCAGATGATCACAAGCCCCTTTCTATGTGCCCCCATTGAACACTATACTCAGCTATTCATGGCAGTCAAGTTCTCAAGTTTGCTTCAAGTACAACCAAAGAAATTGTGCAAGTTCCTGGTTGGAGTTCATGCCTGGGCAGAAGGAAAGGAAGAATTCCCAGAAGTATAAAGTATGGAAAGATTAATCAGATGCAGGAATCAAAGCTAGAGATGATCATGAGAATGTTTTATCCCTTTCCCCAAAAATTCAGAGAAAGGAGCAGAAAAGGAGTCCTTGATCTGAAAGGATCCCCCAGCAGTGGGAACTCTACCAACCGTCAAGTTTCTGTATCCACTTCGTCTTCTACAATACCAGCAGCCGATGAGCAGTGAAATTCCCAGGATCACTATCAGGAAGCCAATCCCTGCAGCCCTGGCCCAAGAGATAGACAAGTCCAACTTGGCACGGAAACATTATTTCAGATTGTAATAAAATATAAATCACTCTTCTCTCTTCATATGGGCTTTAATAGCCCAGAGAAGCACCTCTCAGTCCCCAGGCAGTTTGCCATCCCCAACACAGGGCACCCCCACCAGGCCTTCAGCTCCTGAATCAGAGACAGGTCCCAGTCTAGGAGCCTCTCAGGTGTGTACTCACAGGACCACTGCTAACTGCATGGCCCAAGCCCCCAAGTTCTAGGCACAGGAAGTGCCCTAGCAGTTGATCCTCATGTGGGTAATATGTCTATTGGAGCATAGTTATCTTTTCTTCTCATCAGGACTGGTTTAAAGCATTTTCCCCAACTCAGTCCAGAAAAAGGAAATATAAATTAGCACTAACTGAACATCTACAATAAGTCAGGTGCTGCACTGAACATTCTACATGCATTAGCTTTTTTAATTCTCATAATAACCCTGTAAAGGTGGATGCCACTTCTCATCCATGGTTATCCAGAGATAGCAAATGACAAAGCTACCCGAGGCCCCATACTCTCCCCGCATCCCCTGTGACCCTGGGGGAGAGGATTCTAAGCTAAACCTAGAACAGAGCTTAGTTTCTTAGGGAAGGATCTGATCCTAAGCATAGAATGCCAATCTGGGATTAAACCAGCCTAGGGGCCCTGAGTCCTGTGACCCCCAGGAAGCCTTACAGTTACCATGAAGGCACTGGAATCAGGGCCTGGGGCTGTCACTGCCTGCATAAGATTGTCAGTTAACTAGCATCTCCCTGATTTTCCACACAACAGCCCAATCAAAATTGAGAGTACTGTGTGTTATTTGTGGCTATAAACTTGCTAAAAAAGGCTCTTTGGATCTGGGTGATCTACAAGAGACTGAGCAGCTACAGGAGAAGCAAGATTAAACAGAGACTTCTGGAGAGAGTTCTGCCTAGTTCCTCCTGCCCCACCACCTTCAGCTCCAAGCTACTGAGGTATCAAACAAGTCCTGTCCATCTCCAAAAGGGATGCAGAGAACCAAACAATTGCAGAGCTTATGGAAGCTCTGACCCAATTATGGAGATCAATCTACCCATTTTCTAGATCATGAAGCTGAGACCTATCAAGATCTCTCAGCATCAGCATCACTACCACCCTAGTGACTCCTGTACCATCCATCCATTGAGTACTAATTTGTGTCTGGCTCCATGCTAAGCACCCTGCAAATGTGCTTTCATTTTATCCTCACAACAACCCTCTGAGGTAAATATGATGTTTGTTTTATGGCTGACATCAGGCTGGTACAATGCTCAAGGTTGCACAACCAGTAAGTGGCAGACTCAGCAATCATAGTAACTGGCACTAGTCACCCAAAGAAGGAACTTTAGAATTTAGGCCAGACCCAGGTTTGCAGTCTCCCAGGCCAGTGTTCTTCCTGCAGAAATCACTCTCTCCTAAAATGAAGCTGTCACAAGAGTGTACAAAGTGCTCTCATGACTGGAGGCAGCTGATCAAATTCCCAGCATGTCTGTGCTCTAACTTTACCCTGTGAGTTCCCCTAGAATGTTCCCTAGAACAGAGAGAACTCTGTTCTAGCTTTTTATGCACAGTCACACTGTATTCACAACATTCCCAGGTGACTGAGTGCATAAAACACAAAGGAACACCAGAAGAACCCACTGCCCATCTTAGCAGGGTTCCCAAGTGTCATCCAGATACCACCACCTGCAGCAGAATTAGCTGAGATTAATTTAAAAGCAAGCTCTGTAGACAATTTATGCCCACTCAGTGTGGGATCCCTTATCTACTGAGGTTTCAAAGCCATTTTGGGGGTTGCCTACTTCACATTGTTCTTCCTCAATCTATCTGGTGGTGGTAAGATTGTGAGAAGGATAAATATTCTCGGAGAATCTCAGAGACTTGTTGCTACAGTACAGCTGTCCGTGTTTCCCTATCTCCATCCACCTGTTTACAGGAGGTCAGCTGAGGGTAAGTCCTGACATTGGTGGCCTTATGCAGAAGTGATTAGTCTATAATGTCATTCTATGTACTCAATGGTTCCTGCCCACACAGACTGAGGTTAAGAAAGTCACTTTGTGGGAGCTTTGGTCATTTGACCTTCATACAGACAGCAAAATGTCAAAGGAAATGGCATTCTGCTTGTGCAAAGACCACTCCCACACGTACAGGTCAAATGGGGTTTTGTGGGTTTTGTTTGTTTGTTCACTTGTTTTTAGGGCTAGAGCCTGAGGCTCCCCTGTGTTCTCAGGGAAGCTACCAGAGAATCCACCTGACTCTGCATCAGTCCTTTGTTCAGGATGCAAGACAGAAAGCTTAGGCCTTCAGTTAGAGACTCCTTTATATGATGATGGTAATAAACTCCATATGACTTTTATTAAGCTGTTGTTCCCCAACTTCAAACCCACCTTTCTATGCTCTGCCTAAGGTGCTGGAGTCGAATTCTACAAACCCCACTTCTCTTTTGCTCACTGGCTCCCATTAGCACCTAGAGGGAGTCCACTAGACTGGAAGAGGAAGAAGGGGGTGTTCCCTCCAGTTAGCATAGCCCCAGAGGCAGTTCTTCTCACCATTAGTTCCACTCACCAGCTCTACTTCTGCCACTCCAGGACCAGGCCTTTTATGCTTCTCACTAGCTGATCAGTGCCCACCACAGAGGTCTGAGCATTTAATCCATAGGCCCTTCCTCTAAGTTCCTGAAGCCCCAGGACCAACTAAGCAGAAATCCTTCCTCAGAACTGTGGGTCCCATTTCTGTGGGGTCCCTTCTCTCTGTTCCAAGTTCCGACGGCCCCACACTTCTCGTTCTTTACCCAGCCCCAGGGGTGGAAGCAGCCTCTGCAGTTCCTGCCTTTGGGTCCTCTCTGGGTCTCCTTTGCTTCCTCAGGCCCAGCACCTGTTTAACCAGTTCCTTATACCAAGGTTGAAATGCCTGATTGGTTTCTGTCTTCCTGATTAGACCCTGAGAGCAATTCTGTTTGGGCTGTGGATGCCACCTGGCCACTAGCTTCCCCAGCTGGGAGAGACGACACTGTGAAGCAAAAAACGGCTCTTTTCCAGCCTACTGAGCTGACCATTTCCAGCCTCCAGCCTTTGGCTTCACGGTAGACATTCTGATCTCTGCCCTAGCCTCTTGTTGGATGGGACTGTGCAAATATTTGCCTCTGTTGGCCTGCAGCATAGTGCTTCATAGGCAAACAAACCTGGATTTAAATCCCAACATCATGGCCAGATACACATTTCCAGTTTTCTCTAAGACTCTCCTCACATACAGCACAACATAGGGTGAGCATCACCACATGGTGGGTGAGCAGAGGATGCCTGTCACTTGAAAGGAATGGCCCTAGCCTTCCCTTTATCTCCCCCTTTCTATTAATGAGACACAGAGATGATGACACACCGTTTCTTAGAAAAAGCAATGTCCAAGGGGAGTAATCAGAGAGAAGGAGGCTGGCCAGCTTGAATTTCATACACTTGGATTACTACATGGGAGATTAACAAAATTACATTTTATTTGTTTATTTTTATGTGGTGCTGAGGATTGAACCCAGTGCCTCACGCATGCTAGGCAAGCGCTCTGCCGCTGAGCTATAGCCCCAGTCAGAATTACATTTTAAAGAAGAGGTTGTCAAGTCATCTTACAGTAGCTGAAATAATATCCTAAATAATTCCATGTGCAATTTACCTTCTCCACCCTCCACTTCACTCTAAAATGAGCATATTTTTATTCTTGGGACAACTTGTTGAAAGATATTACCACCACCCCCTTCTTTAATTGACCATATAGGGAGTGAGAGACTCTCACTGGGGTCTTCAGAGGAAATGCTCCCAGCCTGAATTATTCCTTGGTATCTGATAGATTCTTCATCTTGCTTGTTCCTGATAATTGGGTCTGTTGAAGATTTTTCAACAGCTGTTTCTAAAAGTAGAGATTTCTAGGGAATTTTTAATAGACCACATAAAAAAATGGTCCAAATAAAAGTCTGGCTCCTTGTCCTGTTGGAGTCCCTGCTCAGAGGGTGGAGCCCGCCCTTCCACCTGGACACCCATTCCTTCAGGGGGTATGTCCTGCAGCCTCTGTGTTCCCCTAACAGCACTTACACTTGCTGAGATTAACTCTCAGTGGATTGTGAAAACTTTCAAAGGTAAGAACAGTGTTTTGGGCTGGTATACAATGCCTAGCACTTGGAAATGCTAATCATATAAATACTTATTTTTAATTAACTCATAATACCAAACACCCTTCTGTAGGATAAGGCTATGATGCAAAGGTCATGGACACAATCTTCATCCTGAAATCAGTCCACACACCTGCACCTCATCCTCATGGGCTCTTTGGCAAGTCAACTTTATTCTGTCTGCAAAGCACCTTCAGGAGCCTGAGTGGAGTTGAGAGAACAAGGTTTGGGGGAAAAAGCATCTTGATCCTGGGCAGGTGTTTTCCAGCTTGGGAACCTACAGCTAAGACCCCAGAATGTAGACAAGAATAGCAAGATGCCTGGGGGGTGGGGGGGGAGAACAGCAAGATCCAACTTTTAGTTATTCTTATCTCCCTTCCTGTTTGGCCCAAGAGAAGCTTGAGAGAGCCCCTTATAGGACCCTAAGGTCTCCTTTTATTGTCAGGGTTTTTACTGTCTGGGGAGATAAACACAGGGAAATGTGTACACAAACTTGTGTAGGTGGAAGTAAGCAGTCTGGCAAATTGAAAATCCTAGTGGGTCTTGTTTTGAACTTACTCTTCAGTTGTAATGTAAGAATAACTGTGCCCCTTCCTGAGGTTACCATAGATGAAGTGAGCCTCTTCTTGTGGCATCTTGTGGGGTCACGGCACAGGACACCTAACAGAGAGGCACATGGGCATCATTTAGTGTATCTAAAGTGTTTTTATGCAACATCTCATAAAGATCCACAAAGACATTGTTGCCAGGTGATGGGAATTGACAGGGGGACCTTCTGGTTTTTCTCTCTCTGAGAGGATTTGTATCTACTTCTTTCACTAACATTCAGGACTTTAGAAAGTCCCTTCCACTAATGGAAAATTAAGCTTGAAGAAGAAACTACACATGAAAGCCAAAAATATTTCAAACTAAGTTATTATGGGGGTGGTGCTCTTCATTTGTCTTCAATTTGACTCCATACATAAACTTACAGCAAAAAGAAACAAAACACATTTCTATTCATTCTCGACCTTCCCTGACCTAGGACACTAGTTAATAAAACAAGACTTTAGTAACTCTTAGTAACCCCTACATTACCCACCTGAGGTGATTAATGAGTTCAACCATAATTTTTTAACTATAATTTCTAGTAACTCTCCAGAGTTACTATTTTATATCATTTCCTGGACTGGACAGTGGCTAGGATGAGATAATGTGTATTTCTCAAAGCATCCCCTGCTCAAGCTGGGCCATGGGTGTGTAAAGCAGAGCAACCAAGCATAGTGTCTTCCAACTCCACCCCACACATGTCTTAGCTTGCCCTGTGCATATCACTCAAAATAAGCCAAGGAAGCTCAGGACTTGACTTTGTCTGACAATTTTTTTCCCTTTCACCTAAACTAATTTCTGCTTCCCTTTAGTTCACAACTCATGGATAGGGGTTAAAACAATTTTTTAAAAAATATTTTAATATATACAAAGAAAAATAAGAAGTTCATGAACTCATTAAAAACCAAGAATGGAAACTTCTCTCCTTACTATTGTGTATTTTTCTTCCCTTTCGCTGTTCTGTGAATTTCAAAGTCCTGATCCCTACAGAGTTATATTAATGGGCTCCAGTTTGAACATCAGAGAGAATGAAGAGCAGAGTGGGGGTTTTACCATATGACTCCTTTCCATTGGGGGCGTTTTATGTGTAATTTGCCTTTCCCAGTAGTAAAAAAGAAATTATAGTTGAACTCATTGATTACCTCAGGTGGATAATGTAGGGGTGAATGCTCTTCAAAATTATAGACAAGAAACCCAATTAATTCTGCTTAAATTTTTTTGTACATCTATACCTCAAGCTCAGAGCCTCAACAAACAGTACAGGGACAGCAAATGCACCTCATCCTACTCAAACATGAGATGTGGTCCTGCAAATGGCAGGAGAGTACATCCAGGCAGGGAGCTGCTAGTCACCAACAGACTGTCCTGCACTCCAGGAATAATCACTATTCTCAAAAGTTGCAGAGGACAGAGAGAGAATCTAGGAAGAGACTGTGAATACCCAGAAGTTGGAGAAGTACACATGTTGAGGAGAAATCCTGTTAATAATTAACCAGGTAGGCAATGAGGACAGCAGAGAGGTCCACCAGCATTTCCCAGGCCCTGTTCTGGAAGAATAGGACACAATGGCAGTGAAAAGGAATGTCCTTACCGTCCCTGATGAGCTAGTCCTTCGCTTGCTCGCTGGCTGTGTGTGTGAAGATTGCTTCTCTGGCTCTTAATCTTTTTAACATTTTTTTTTCTTTTGCCTTGGTCTTGAGTCCCATGATAGTCACGGGTTTGAATTCCTGACGGGTCGTCTGTAATTGCTTATTTGGCATGAAAGAAACAGACTTCATTACACCTTCAAAAAAACCACAGCTCACTGTGGCCTCTGTTTTTCCCAGTTTCAATGCTTCATCAAATGACTGGGGAAGTCATTTATTTTATTTTATTTTATTTTTTTTTGCGAGTGCTCTACCACTGAGCTGCATCCTAGCCCTTGTATAATCTAAAATATGTAAATGACTTTGTGTGTTGTAATCACTAAACATTAAGTTATGCATTGTCAGGTCCTGAAATATCTTAGAAGATTTATTGACTTAAATTTAAAAGTTACTTAATTACTTTCATATATAAGTTGGTTGGAAAAACTGCAAAGTAGAACATGACAGTGTGCCTGGGAGCTGGCTTCAAGGGGATGGAATAGCTATTATCTCAGACCCTTGGGTAATGATCTCATCTGGGAGGCAGAGTAATTAGAAAGGTATACTAAATACAATATCTCTATACAAGAGAAAATTATAGACAAAGGCCTATGGAATCAAGAATCTTATTCAAAAATATGAAGTCTTCTGTAATCAACTGCATTAATTCATACTGAGTGGATGTTGAATGGTTAAAGGCAGTAGTTCTTACAAAATTTTTTAAAATGATATCAATAATAAAATGATTAATAAAATCCTCATGGTTGAGGAAAATTTTTAAATATGACTTGTGCCATTAATCTTTTTTTATTTTTTATTTTTTATTTTTTTTTTAATTTTTTATTGTGGGTTGTTCAAAACATTACAAATTTCTTGACATATCATATTCCACACTTTGATTCAAGTGGGTTATGAACTCCCACCTTCACCCCATACACAGATTGCAGAATCACATCAGTTACACATCCATTGATTTACAAATTGCCATACTAGTGTCTGTTGTGCTCCGCTGCCTTTCCCATCCTCCACCCTCCCCCCTCCCCACCTCTCCCCTCCCCTCCCCTCCTCTCTCTCTACCCCCTCCACTGTATAACCCTGAGGGTCTCCTTCCATTACCGTGCAATTTCCCTTCTCTCTCCCTTTCCCTCCCACCTCTCATGCCTGTTAAATGTTAATCTTCTTCCCCTGCTCTTCGTCCCTACTCTGTTCTTAGTTACTTTCCTTATATCAAAGAAGACATTTGGCATTTGTTTTTTAGGGATTGCCTAGCTTCACTTAGCATAATCTGCTCTAATGCCATCCATTTCCCTGTAAATTCTATGATTTTGTCATTTTTTAATGCAGAGTAATACTCCATTGTGTATAAATGCCACATTTTTCTTATCCATTCATCCATTGAAGGGCATCTAGGTTGGTTCCACAGTCTAGCTATTGTGAATTGTGCTGCTATGAACATCGATGTAGCAGTGTCCCTGTAGCATGCTCTTTTTAGGTCTTTAGGGAATAGACCGAGAAGGGGAATAGCTGGGTCAAATGGAGGCTCCATTCCCAGCTTTCCAAGAAATCTCCATACTGCTTTCCAAATTGGCTGCACCAATTTGCAGTCCCACCAGCAATGTACAAGTGTACCCTTTTCCCCACATCCTCGCCAGCACTTGTTGTTGTTTGACTTCATAATGGCTGCCAATCTAACTGGAGTGAGATGGTATCTTAGGGTGGTTTTGATTTGCAATTCTCTGACTGCTAGAGATGTTGAGCATTTTTTCATGTACTTGTTGATTGACTGTATGTCCTCCTCTGAGAAGTGTCTGTTCAGGTCCTTGGCCCATTTGTTGATTGGGTTGTTTGTTCTCTTATTGTCTAATTTTTTGAGTTCTTTGTATACTCTGGATATTAGGGCTCTATCTGAAGTGTGAGGAGTAAAGATTTGTTCCCTGGATGTAGGCTCTCTAATTACCTCTCTTATTGTATCTTTTGCTGAGAAAAAACTTTTTAGTTTGAGTAAGTCCCATTTGTTGATTCTAGTTATTAACTTTTGTGCTATGGGTGTCCTATTGAGGAATTTGGAGCCCGAACCCACAGTATGTAGATCGTAGCCAACTTTTTCTTCTATCAGACGGCGTGTCTCTGGTTTGATATCAAGCTCCTTGATCCATTTTGAATTAACTTTTGTGCATGGCGAGAGAAAGGGATTCAGTTTCATTTTGTTGCATATGGATTTCCAGTTTTCCCAGCACCATTTGTTGAAGATGCTATCCTTCCTCCATTGCATGCTTTTAGCCCCTTTATCAAATATAAGGTAGTTGTAGTTTTGTGGATTGGTTTCTGTGTCCTCTATTCTGTACCATTGGTCCACCCGCCTGTTTTGGTACCAGTACCATGCTGTTTTTGTTACTATTGCTCTGTAGTATAGTTTGAAGTCTGGTATCGCTATACCGCCTGATTCACACTTCCTGCTTAGAGTTGTTTTTGCTATTCTGGGTCTTTTATTTTTCCATATGAATTTCATGATTGCTTTCTCTATTTCTACAAGAAATGCCCTTGGGATTTTGATTGGCATTGCATTAAACCTATAGAGAACTTTTGGTAATATCGCCATTTTGATGATGTTAGTTCTGCCTATCCATGAACAGGGTATATTTTTCCATCTTCTAAGATCTTCTTCTATTTCTCTCTTTAGGGTTCTGTAGTTTTCATTGTATACGTCTTTCACCTCTTTTGTTAGGTTGATTCCCAAGTATTTTATTTTTTTTGAAGATATTGTGAATGGAGTGGTTGTCCTCATTTCCATTTCAGAGGATTTGTCGCTGATATACAGGAATGCCTTTGATTTATGCGTGTTGATTTTATATCCTGCCACTTTGCTGAATTCATTTATTAGCTCTAATAGTTTCTTTGTAGAGCCTTTTGGGTCTGCTAGGTATAGAATCATGTCATCTGCAAATAGTAATAATTTAAGTTCTTCTTTTCCTATTTTGATGCCTTTAATTTCTTTCCTCTGTCTAATTTCTCTGGCCAGTGTTTCGAGAACTATGTTGAACAGAAGTGGTGAGAGAGGGCATCCCTGTCTTGTTCCATATTTCAGAGGGAATGCCTTCAATTTTTCTCCATTCAGAATGATGCTAGCCTGAGGCTTAGCATAGATTGCTTTTACAATATTGAGGTATGTTCCTGTTATCCCTAGTTTTTCTAGAGTTTTGAACATAAAGGGATGCTGTACTTTCTCGAATGCTTTTTCCGCATCTATCGAGATGATCATATGGTTCTTATTTTTAAGTCTATCGATGTGGTGAATAACATTTATTGATTTCCGTATATTGAACCAGCCTTGCATCCCAGGGATGAATCCTACTTGATCATGGTGTACAATTTTTTTGATATGTTTTTGTATCCGATTCGCCAGAATTTTATTGAGGATTTTTGCATCTAGGTTCATTAGAGATATTGGTCTGTAGTTTTCTTTCTTTGAAGTGTCTTTGTCTGGTTTAGGTATCAGGGTGATGTTGGCCTCATAGAATGAATTTGGAAGTTCTCCCTCTTTTTCTATTTCCTGAAGTAGCTTGAAAAGTATTGGTATTAGTTCCTCTTTAAAGGTTTTGTAAAACTCTGCTGTATACCCATCCGGTCCTGGGCTTTTCTTAGTTGGTAGTCTTTTGATGGTTTCTTCTATTTCCTCAATTGATATTGGTTTGTTTAGGTTGTCTATATTTCCTGACTCAATCTGGGCAGATCATATGACTTAAGAAATTTATCTATGCCTTCACTATCTTCTAATTTATTGGAGTATAAGGATTCAAAATAATTTTTGATTATCTTCTGTATTTCTGAAGTGTCTGTTGTGATATTGCCTTTTTCATCCCGTATGCTAGTAATTTGAGTTCTCTCTCTTCTTCTCTTTGCTAGCATGGCTAAGGGTCTGTCGATTTTGTTTATTTTTTCAAAGAACCAACTTTTAGTTTTGTCAATTTTTTCAATTGTTTCTTTTGTTTCGGTTTCATTAATTTCAGCTCTGATTTTAATGATTTCTTGCCTTCTACTTCTTTTGCTGTTGTTTTGCTCTTCTTTTTCTAGGATTTTGAGATGAAGTATGAGATCATTTATTTGTTGGTTTTTTCTTTTTTTAAGGAATGAACTCCATGCAATGAATTTTCCTCTTAGAACTGCTTTCAATGTGTCCCATAGATTCCGATATGTTGTGTCTGTGTTTTCATTCATCTCTAAGAATTTTTTAATTTCCTCCTTGATGTCTTCTATAACCCATTGATCATTCAGTAACCTATTGTTCATTCTCCAAGTGATGCATGATTTTTCCTTCCTTCTTTTATCGTTGATTTTCAGTTCCATTCCATTATGATCAGATAGGATGCATGGTATTATCTCTACTCCTTTATATTGTCTAAGAGTTTCCCTGTGACATAATATATGATCTATTTTTGAGAAGGATCCATGTGCTGCTGAGAAAAAAGTGTAACTTCTTGATGTTGGGTGGTATATTCTATATATGTCAATTAAGTCTAGGTTATTAATTGTGTTATTGAGTTCTATAGTTTCCTTATTCAACTTTTGTTTGGAAGATCTGTCCAGTGGTGAGAGAGGTGTGTTGAAGTCTCCCATGATTATTGTATGGTGGTCTATTAGACTCTTGAACTTGAGAAGAGTTTGTTTGATGAACATAGCTGCACCATTGTTTGGGGCATATATATTTATGATTGTTATGTCTTGTTGGTGTATGGTTCCCTTCAGCAGTATGTAGTGTCCCTCTTTATCCCTTTTGATTAACTTTGGCTTGAAATCTATTTTATTTGATATGAGTATGGATACTCCTGCTTGTTTCCGAAGTCCATATGAGTGATATGATTTTTCCCAACCTTTTACCTTCAGCCTATGTATGTCTTTTCCTATCAAATGCGTCTCCTGTAGGCAGCATATTGTTGGGTCTTGTTTTGTGATCCATTCTACTAGCCTGTGTCTCTTGATTGGTGAGTTTAAGCCATTAACATTTAGGGTTATTATTGAGATATGGGTTGTTCTTCCAGCCATATTTGTTTATTTATGTTACTAAACATGGTTTGTTTTCCTCTTTGGTTATTTTCCCCCCTTTAGTGTCCTACCTCCCACTGTTGGTTTTCATTGTTATTTTCCATTTCCTCGTCCTGCAATGTTTTGCCAAGGATGTTTTGAAGAGATGGTTTTCTAGCTGCA